TTGTAATATTTTGGAAATTATAAATAAAGTTGCTAATGGTAATGAAATAGGTATTGTTTATGAAATCGTTTCAATGCTTAATTAAGGGAGTACATCTCCACTCTATTCATGGGCAAAGTTGGGTAGAAAGTATCTAGCAGGCTTGCTTGACTGGATTATCTTGATTGAGCGCCGGTCGCGCTCCCCGAGGTCGGGGTGTGACAATCTTAGTATCAGAGCCTAAGGTTTTAAAGTGTACTAGGATGTCTCGGAGCCGTGTCTAGTAGAGTCTTTCTTATCGGTGTGTTGTCTACCACATCTATAATTAGGAGGCTACTTGGGAACTTAGGAACGTCACCATTCTTTGGTACTCAGATTGTGCGATAGAGCTCAAGATAGGAATCTTATTTCCTCGTCATGTCTCATTTTCCAGATGAGTAACCTACGAGTTCGAGGCAGCGATGAGGGAATGAAAGAACCAGTTGCTAGGGGAAGTGTCCTTATTCCTATTAATGTCACCACGTCACCAGATCATGTGGTGAGATCACCTAAGAAACGAAAGATGGTTGTTTGTACCAATAAGCCAGAATGTTTGATTTGTAAGAAGTGCCACTTGGGGACGTATTGGATGAATATTGAAATGTGTTATGGTTGTAGAAAGAGGGGGCATAATATGAAACAAATTCCCTAGGTTGGGTACACCCATCCCGGTCTGCCCGATATGCAGGAAGGCACATTTGGCGTCATTTTGTGAGTATGCTCAGGAATGTATTAGGGGTGGAAGGCTTGGGCAATTCCAAAGGCCCACACAGCAAACTCGTACAGAGATTGTTACTCCCACTGTGAAGTCCTAGAGGAAGGATGAGAGGGATTCTTATGACTTATGCAAAAATGGTAAATATCATGTCAGTGGGGTGAGTCATCTTAGCAGACCTCATCCTCATTGTGAGAAGTGTAGGAGATGTCATTCGGGGGTATGTCACTATGGTACCAATGTATATTAAGGATGTGGAGCCGAGGGGAATCAATTAAGGTACTGCCCTGTCAATCTAAAATAACCAAGTAAGTCACTCCTTAGTACCTCATTATGAGCACCACATAATTTTTCTTGTTGTATATGTACATCCATATTGAAGAGCCTTCATACACATGGTCTTAACAAGAAGCTGAATCACAAAACATTACATGTACTTACTTTTTGAATGAGACGCATTATTCGTGAAGCCACTTTATCACAAATTGTCTTATTTACAACCTCTTGTGGAATTGAGTTCTATAATTGTTTCCTTGAATTGAGTTATAACCCTAGGCTAATACTTCCCACTTGCTTCCCTAATATTTTCAACAAGGGACTATATCTGATGAATTGCTTATAGAACCTTCTGATTTGAATGGATAACATCTGCTCACGTGTGCCTGTACAAACACTATCATAATATTTACCTACATGGCATCGAATCCAATGTAAAGCAGCCTAGTGCTGAGATCCTTCTTGAGCCACTCTTTTTCTCTCTAGTGTATGTAGCTCCTATGGTTTGAACAGTCACTTTACTCCTTTATGAATATTATCATGAATCATTTTCATTGTCTAGTAACCCGAGAGCATATCTCAGCATCTATCATATGTGTACCTGTCAACTAAAAGGGGTCACTTGTCCGCATAAAGTTTCTGGGAAATTTGAGATTTTCACAAGTTCGTCACAGGAATATCTTTTTATTTTCCCATCTCAGTATGACTTTCATGTCCACTTAGATCATTCTACAGTAAGTACGTCACTTTGTTCCTAGTATTGTAAGTGCCCATAAAGTGGCATGGTATTGCAACTTGAGAGTTGTTATGGCAGAAGCATGTCTAGCTCATAGCAAAGTGTTCATTCTCTCTAACCAATTCATGATTTCATCCCAATATTAAGAAGTCCTAGCTATGTGGATTCACTTGTGAAAGTTTGAAATTAAATGTTTCAGATTTTGGAATATATAATGAGCATATTGATTTGAAAGACAAGATTATCGCATCTCTAGTTCTCTCATATAGGATCGACTATCGGGAAGGGGTTAAGCTACCAGGATGAAAAAAATCTCACAAGTGTTCAACTTCTTTTTCAACGATGTGGGATTGTGGCATAGATTCCTTGTGTCAGTTAATGTTAAGAGCGTAACGCAACTTCATGTATTTGGAAACCAATATCACATTCAGGGTGCCAGAATATTCTCATTTCGAGTTAAACTGATTTTCCCTACACTCTAGGAGGCGATTGGTGTCACGTACTTGGCTATTTCTCCTTGAGGCTTATTATTGCCGAACAGGGCACATATGGAATGAAACAATTGTTACCATCCTTTTCATAACTCATGATCTTCCAAGAAAAACTGATGCTAATGTCTTTATCCTTCCGATCTTGCCTCCCATATGTCACATGTCTAAAATGACTTTTTTTTAAATCTCAGGATCATGTACATGGTTCCAACATTATCAATGCCTACTAGGCAACTTTATGCCTCATTTGTCGAATCGATGATGTCATCACAACAATTACATATGTCAGCGCTATTGGTAGTAACCTTCATATTTCTTAGGTTATAACCTCCTGAAATGCCCCTGCTCAGCACATTGATGGATTCTTGAATAATTCCAGCCCAATCTCGATCCTCGTTGTTCCTATTTATAGTAACCATATGGGGTTGAAGGTTCAAACATGTCAAAGAGATAGCATCATCCCATGATCAAACATATTGGGTAGGAAACTTTATGGACATACTCATGCTAGCACATCTTAGAGTAATTGTTGAAGGTCGCCAAAGGTTTAATTTGGGTGTTCGCAATAGAGATTTAAGGTTGAAGAAAGTGAACGGGTTATTCTCAATATTTTCTGCATGAAGATATTATGTGAATTGCTAATAAAGGTAAAGTATGTGTAGTCACATTAGGCCTTATGAAATCTTTAAGAAAATAGGCTGAACTATGAGTTTGATGTTTCCCCATCATTGTCCTCCATGTACTCGGTGTTTCATGTGTCTATGTATAAGAAGGTAGTTGGAAATCCTTTGTCTATCATTCTGGTGAAAGCTAGTGAAGGTGAAATTAATGGGTAATTGGCTGATGGGAGGTACTTAATTGTCATACTTGTTAAATAAGTCCGGCAATTGAGATTGCTTTCGTTAATGTGCTATGGAGAGTCTGTGAGTCGAGGAGACCACCTCGAAGGCCAAAAGTGTTAAGGAAAGAAAATGTTCTCAGTTGACTATATATCCAATTGATTTTGGATCGAAAGGTACTTTCTATATGTTATTATTCAAATAAATACAGTTCGTGTCCAGATATCATTTTTGATAATGTAAAGCCGATAATGCTAAAAGTTGTGTTATTATTATGTTGTGATGCTTTGTCGAGTTGTGGATGTGTTGTTAGGAGTGGTTTTGGTGATTCTCTTGCAGGTGGTTAGGCCTAATTACAAAGGAGAATCTGCCAAAATTTCTGAAAATTTGGGAGTTAGTCAAATTTGGGATCTTAAAATGTGTGAGAGATGAGATGTGTTATGTTAGGTGTTTGGGGCGGACTCTACTCCTCATTCGAGGACGAATGATTCTAAGTGGGGGAGGATGTAAGACCCCTTATATTTCCGGCAAGTAATCTAATGTCTCATGGTGCCAAGGTAGGCTAATGTATTGTATTTTTGGACTTTTTGGGTTGAACAATGTGTTGGGGAGTTGAATCGTTTTGACCTCGTGTCGCCCAGCTCATAGCGTGCTAGACTGTGCTATATCCCTCGCGAAACCTGGTCTGTAGCACTAGAACCTGCTATATCCCTCACAAAGCATGGTCTGTAGCTCGCTACGGATCTCCCCTAGCCTGGTCTGTAGCGCGATCCGGATTTCAGAGGGTCCATTCTTCTATTTTTATAACCCGACCCTATCTTGATAAATAGACGTAAGGGACCATCTTTGAAGGGAATATCTAATATTTTTAGAGAGAAGAAATGCCCTAGAGTTAAAGGAGAAATCCGGATTTCGGAGGGTCCATTGCTCAAGCCTTGAAATTCAACAAGAAAGCTCACAAGATCTTCACCCAAGAGGTAAGGTTCTAACCCCAGTCTTCGATTTCGAGTTTGGGTAGAAGATGGGTAATTGGGAGTATGATTATTGGTTATAAGAGTTGTTATTTATGCATGCATGTAGCTATGAGGATGGTGGGGAGTTAATTGAAATAATATGAGTTAACTCTTGGTATTGAGTTGGTTGTGGAGTGAAGGAAATCTTAAAGAAGAACCTTGTAATCAAGTTCGCACACCTAGTGCTTGATAAAATGCACAAATGAGTTGAAATCATGAATATCTTCCTAATTTATGTTCAAATTTGTTATGCTTCTAAATAGATTGAAGTTGCTAGGATTTTCGAAACATTGTAGTAATTTAAGGAAAGCTCGAAGCGAGATATGTTGGCTAAACTACTCTCTTAGAATTGAATTCTATGATGTTCCCGTAAGTTTTAAGTATGGTTTTCTCAAGTCCCTAATTCCCATGTTCCGAGATGTTCCTAATAAATTCGACTATCCCGAGTAAGCAAAGTGTCTAAAGATGTATGTATTCAAAATGTGTTCCAATTACTTCTGTCACATTATGTTATCCTTCGGGAATGTACGCCATATCTCTTCGTCCGTCGATTTCGTTGAGTTCCTGCCTTCTGCTCTCATCGTTACTCGTGTCGCTTTCATGGGAGTACCTTATACTGGGTTCTCCAACCTCGACCGGTATTACTGTCTCTGTCCTATAGACCAAAGAGTAGTCGTCTCTCCTGTTCTCTTCTTTGGAGTTGTTCGGTAGTCCCATAATACTTCTGGTTGTATTTCTGGCCATAGTCCCTTGGCGTCTTCGAGCTTTTTCTCCATGATCTTTAGTATGGATTTATTCGAGGATTCTACTTGCCCGTTACCCGTTGGGTGATATGGGGTTGAGAGTATCTTCTTGATATGCCATTTCTCAAAGACCTCGGCAATTTTCTTTCCTGTGAACTAGGGTCCGTTGTCACAGCTGATTTCCATGGGTAGGCCGAATCGGCAGATGATGTTTCTCCATATAAAGGTTATTACCTCTTGTTCCAGTATTTGGGCGAATACTCCTGCTTCCACCCATTTAGAGAAATAGTCAGTTAAAACCAATAGGAATCATACATTACCTCACCCTGCTGGGAGGGGCCCCATGTTGTCCATTCCCCATTTGATGAAAGGCCAATGGGAAGTGACTGAGTAGAGGTATTTGCCTGCTTGGTGAATCATTGGGGCGTACTTTTGGCACTGTTCACATTTCCTTATGAAGTCTGTGGTGTCCTTTTTCATGGTGGGCCAATAGTATCCCGCATGTATGAGGCATCTGACTAGTGCTCGATTTCCAGAGTGAGCACCGCAATGTCCTTCATAGACTTATTCGAGGATGTGCTGGGTTTGGTTTGGGCCCAAACATTTCGCCAGAGGTCCACCGTAAGTCCTCTTATATAGGTCGCTATGGAGGAGATTGTATCTAGCCGCCTGCATTCTTAGTTTCTTGACTTCTTTTTTATTGCCTGGGAGTCTGTCGTCCTGTAAATATGCGATAATATGATTGCGCCAGTCCCAAGTTAAGTTTATGGTTTTTACCTCGATTTGGTCTAGTGATGAGTTGAGAAGATGGACTACACTTTTATCTCTGGCTGTGATGCTTTTAGTAGTTGCAGCCAGTTTGGTGAGGCAATCTGCTTTGGCATTCTATGCTCGTGGGATCTCATCGAGCTGGCATTCGTCGAACTCAGGCAATAGCTTATAGATTTCGGTCTGGTATTTTTGCAACCTTTGTTCCTTGATTTGGAAAGTCCCTGTGACTTGGTTGACTATGATTTGGGAGTCACAATAGAGTTTCAATCATTTCGTCCCATACTGCTAGACTCAACCCTGCAATTATGGCCTCGTACTCGGCCTCATTGTTAGTCATATACGGTCACCTTATGGACTGATGAATTACTTCGCCTGTAGGGACCTCGAGTACGAGTCCTAGTCTGGACCCTGATGCGTTGGATATGCCATTAGTGTATAGGACCCAGAGGTCTCGTGTTTGGAGGGAAGCTTGGACGACTTCCTTTTTGACTTCAGACATTATTTATTAACTGAAGTCGGAGATCACTTGTGATTTTATCATTGTTCACGGCTAGTAGGTGATATCGTACCCGCTTAGCTCGATGACTCATTTGGCCAGTCTCCCCGATAGATCGGGTTTATGCAAAATGCTCCTCAGGGGAAAGGTTGTTACGACCGAGATGGGGTGGCTTGGAAATAGGATCTAAGCTTTAGTGAAGCTACGACCAAGTCCAGAGCCAATTTCTCGAGGTACAGATTCCTCGTCTCAGCGTTGATGAGTTTTTTGCTAAAGTAATAGATGGGAGATTGTGTACCTTTATTTTTGCAGATCAAGACTTCACTTACCGCTACCTGGGAGATGGCTAGATAGACGAGGAGTTGGTCCCTCGGTTCAGGTTTTGAAAGCATGGGTGGTGATGATAAGTATGCCTTCAGTTCTCGTAGAGCCTAGGCGCACTCGGGAATCCATTTTAAGGTCGTTCTCCTTCTTGAGTATGCCAAAATATTTGTGGAATCTATCCGACGACCACAAAATGAACCTTGATAGGGCGGCAATTCGACCAGTCAACCTTTAGACTTTCTTTATGGTGGATAAAAGTTCTGGTATCCCCTCGATAGCTTTGATTTGGTCTGGGTTGACCTCGATCCCTCGCTGCGATACTAGAAAACCTAAGAACTTTCCCGAGGCTACGCCAAACGCACATTTCTCTAGGTTCATCTTCATTCTACACCATCTGAGTATGTCGAAAGTTTCTTTCAAATGATCAATGTGATCCGCTGCCTTTTCGGAGTTGACCAATATGTCGTCTATATATACTGCCATGGCCTTGCTGAGCTGGTATTTGAACATCTATTTTACCAATCTTTGATAAGTATCCCTCGCGTTCTTCAGTCCAAACGGTATAACCCTATAGCAATACATTCCTTGGTGGGTGATGAACGTGGTCTTCTCCTGATCTTCTTCCTCCATATGAATTTTGTTATAGCATGAGTAAGCGTCCAAGAAACTTAATAGTTCGTGCATGGCTATTACGTCGATGAGTTGGTCGTTATGGGGTAATGGGAATGAATCCTTCAGATATGCTTTGTTAAAGTCAGTGAAATCCACACACATCTGCCATTTCTCATTTTTATTTTTGACCATCACTACATTAGTGATCCACTTGGGGTACTTCGACTCCCTGATGGAGTCGTTTTCTAATAGTTTTTCCACCTCCTCGTGGACTACATCATTGATGGAGAAGTTAAATTTATGCCTGACATGTCTTACTGGGGGTGGAATGGGTCACGTTTAATTTATGTGTGGCGATTTCCTTTGGAAGCCCAACATATCTGTATGGCTGAAAGAAAACAAATCTACATTAGCTATTAAGAATTGACGTAATTTACATGGCTCCCGAAGTTTGCAGCCGATATAGGCCTTCTTGCTAAGGTCATTGAGGTCCAACTGAATGGGGTCGAGGTCTTCTATGGTTGAATTTGCAACCTCGACTGTGTCGGGATCCATGATGCCATCCCCGGTATCTTCATGCTTCGACCTCGACCCTATGGATTGCTATTCCTCTTTTTCTTTGTCATTTTTCTATTGGGTGGCTGTGTTGTCCAAGGAAATGTGGTAGCATTCCCGGGATATGCGTTGTTCCCCGTGTATGCTGAATATTCCCTATGGTGTTGGGAATTTAATTACTTGGTATAGGCTGGAGGGGATGGCTCTCATAGGATGTATCCATGGTCGTCCCACTATGGCGTTGTACGCAGTGGACTGGTCCATGATGTGGAACGTCGTCTCCAGAGTCACGCCGCCGGCCAAGACGGGGAGTGTAATTTCCTCGGATGTCCGCTCAATTGTATTATTAAAATCGGTTAGCGTGATACAGCGCGTCATTATCTTATCCTCGAGTCTCATTTGGGTAATCACTCGGGGATGGATAATGCATGTGCCACTTCCATCGTCCACCATGATGCGTTTGACATATGTATCTAAAATGCGTAAAGTAATAACGAGGGCATCATTATGAGGAAAAGTTAGACCATCGGCATCCGACTCGTCGAAGATGATACTTTCTATGAGTCTGTCATACCGTTCGCGGGTGATAGACTGCTTGAGCATGTAAGTGGTAGTGAACTTCACGCCATTCATAGAGGCGTCGCCACCATCGCTGATGATCATGTTGATAGTACGAGCTGGCGATGGTGGCGTTGGCAGGCCTTGATGTTCATGTCCTATGGCAAAGTTGGTTCTCCCCTTATCGCTTAACATCTCTTTGAGGTGCCCTTGTCGTAACATATATACGACTTCTTGTCTAAGGGCGATGCAATCTTCTATTTTGTGCCCACATTCCTGGTGGAACTCATAGAAGGCGTCAAATTTTCCGGTGTTTGGTCTTGATCTCATCTTCGGTGGCCACTTCACCTTTGTTCTAAGTTTCTCAAGAGCGTAGACTATTTTTGTAAGTGACACGCAAAAGTTGTGAGCAGATAATAAGGGAGGCATACCTCTTTCATTCCGGTGATTCCATGTCCTTGGCCTGGATGGGCCTTCTTCATAGCAGGGGGAGGCGCGGCGGCCTTCCTGATGTATGGTTGGTGTCATTCCATGTTGGATCGCTGAATCGGGTGGTCACTTCTTGTGTTGTCTCTCAGTTCGTTTCTAAATTTGGCTTGTACTGAGGTTAGCCGCTGAGTTTTTCCATTGATGTCGTCCCCGTCTGCTCGGACCTCGGCACAATAAGCATTATGAATTTCATCCCAAGTGGTTATAGGATACTTCATCAATCGGCTCAACAGTTTTCCAGTCGCTCTTGAACCATCTCTACTCAACCCGTTCTGGAAAGCTGCGATCGCCATCCCTTCGGATACGTTCGGTAGAGACATCCTTACTCTTTTGAATCGGGCAAGGAAGTCCCTAAGTCCCTCTCCCAAGGACTGATTAATAGCGAATACGTCATTTACTCTTGCTTCGACCTTCTTGGCTCAGGCATGCGAATACCATGTTAATGCCCCTCCCGTAAGGGTTTCGCCAAACCTCTTCAGCAAAATAAAATACACTTGTTCCTTGGCGAGGTCGTTGCCTTTCACAACGGTGACATAGTGAGTCACATGATACTCAGGATCGGTCATTCCATTGTATATCCTGAGGTAGGGCGGCATTTTGAAGGTCTTTGGTATGGCATGCGGGCTGCATCATCGCTGTACAATAGCTCTTCGAACCTGCAGGCATCCCTTTGAGGCAGAAGCTTAGGAGCGCCCGGTATCTTGTCAACTCATTCTTGGTGTTCTTTCATCTGGTCTCAGAGCGATTTGTTTCATTCTCCATTTCTTTCATTCTTTTTAGAAAGACAGCGTCACCTGCACTGTTTGTAATATTGTGAAGTATACTTATCGTTAGAGGGTTTGGTTGGTTGCATTACTCGTATGTTTTTTATACCATGCAAGCTCTTGTTGTTTCTGCAGCCAGGCCTGGAGCTGGTTTGTTGAGGATGCTCACTAGCGTGTCGGTCAACCATGCTTCGAGGAGTTTTTTCACAAGTGGGAGCTTCTTTTCTTCTACAGACGTGGAGGTCCCTTTTTCAATGGGTTTTGTTATGCTGCAGTGTGGGGGAGGCGACCTCTCTCACCTAGGGGATGCGTTGGGCGTCATGTCCTCACCTACTGTTTCAGAGTTTTCGTTGATGACATTCATGAGGTTGGTTGGGAAGTCACTTGTTATTTTTGTCTTTTCTCCTTGGTTACCTGCCATGTAGGGTTTTGTATGCACAAATAAAGGAGATCTCGGGGTTTTTGATGTTAGTGACTTATGTTAATATAAGATCTAGAGGAAACTAAAATTGTAACTAAGAAATCCTCACATACGACGCCAAATTGTTTGACAGAAAATATAGAGTTTGGTTCAACTAATTCAATTTATATATNAAATACTACGTAGGTATACCTTGACAACAACGGCAGCATACAGTCAATATTCAAGAAATAAAAGGCAATAATATAGCATTAAATATTGATGAATAGCAATAAATTCTATTTAAGTAAATAGAATGAATGAGTCACCCCATAAAGGATGGAATCAGTGAATGTTCTTTCTGACAATGATGAATGATGGACAATCCTTTGAATATCTGAGTTATTCTCGAATCTAGTGAAAAAGTGTAGACAAAAATCTTAGTAAAAAGGTGATATTTGTATACTTGCAATGAAGTCCGATTCGAGACAAGAATCTTAGTGAAAAGGTGATATTTGTCATAGAGTAGTTTTACAAATGAATATCACATGTCACCTATCATTGTGTCTGTTTTTATTTACAGGGAACATGTTCCTAAAACCCTAACAGTACAAGTATAGAGAATATTCACTAAAATATTCAATAGAATATTCTCTTTTGTATCATATCTCGAAACTAGTTGTTACAGCTCTGTTAAGGGTGCTCGACCTCGGCCTCGATAACAACCCCTCGACTTTAGTCTTGCTCACTCTTCGACCGCGGCTTTCACTGATAATTAGATTACTTCGGCGCGTGGCATCCGAGGAATGTTTTACTAATACCATTTCGACTAAAGATGAATTTTGACCCATACAAGATTATCTACATATGAACCCATCTAAGATATGTAGCTTATCACATGGAATAATAAACTCTTAAGAGAGGCTGACAGATAACATTAAAAAAAATGATGAACTAGGATAAAGGTAAAGCAGATACTGGTTAAACTGCATTAACAGATTTTTTTTTTTTAAAAAAAGGAACATCGATATCGATTAAAAGATAATAAAATAGATAAAATAAGAAAAATTGAGTGTTTTCCTCCCGTTATAACGAAGGGATCTTCATAACTGAGCACTAAACAAAACCAACATTGCTCTCATCTAAGGGCAGTAAAGTTCAAATTGCTATTATCATCAATCAATAAGATCATTGTTCGAATTTACACAGTATTGAGGCATTCACTGACCACAATTACAGTAATTAGCAACAAACATGAAAATTAAGACTTGATGGTACAGAGCAAAAACTCAGATCAAATAATACTGGGAGCTGAAAATGTACAACCAAAAACAGTACAACACCATATGAATTTGATCATAGCTATTCTATTTGTCTTGCCTATGCTCTCTTGTCACCGGTTGCATACGACAGCTCTATTGGCTCAATAGATTTCCCAGCATCTGATAGGAAATCATACTTGAGGAAACTAAGTTACTTGTATTTTGAAGGCAAAACACCAAGAAAGTCTCAGCTGATCTTAGGCTTGGCTCTTCTAGGCTTTAGCACAAGCCAAAGAACAAAGAAAACAACTAGGAAAGCAGGTATCATATATTGTCATGTCAAACTCGACTTTAACATTCCTCTGCCGGATGCAATATTTTAATGGAGACTGTCTAGAGTTGTATCAATATAATTTACGAACCTGCATAATAGACAAGATCATTTTAGCAAACAAGTTGAGAGAAACACGTGTTGAGTGAAAAGTGAAGACACTTTTGCATGCCAAATTAATGTTGCTTAATGCTTGCTAAGCATCGTCCTCGATAAAATATCATATAAACGTGTGACTCCCATATGCAGTAAATCAAGGTATTCTACTATGTACTATCTCAAATTGGTTACACATGTAAGTGCAAGACTAACAATAAGGATGTCATCACTCATCAGGTAGGGGTAAGTGTAGTGCAGCACATCAGTGATTGTCACACAACAAACGAAAGATGCTAACCCTTTTACCGCATCCTCTAAGGTATGGACAAGTCTCAAGGCATCCACATAACACAGTTCCCCACTGACAGTTGAAATCTGGAAGGGATCCATAACATGAAATAAATTGGCTAGAAGGTTTCATAAACAGGCTAAATTTAAGACAACGAGAGCCAACAAGATCAAACTATTTCTGGAAAATATCGTTTTAACTTATGCAGCAAATGCAGATCAATGAGATTGAAATAAGAACAAATCCTTCCATACAGAGGCAGAGCCAAAATTTAAATCTTTTGGGTTCTGAGCTGAACTTGTCATTAAATCCATATCTAGTCTTGTTTACTAGGTTCACAATTAGATATTCATACAACTTTAATGAAATTTGTAATACAAATGCAAGATCTAAACAATTGTTGTTGGGTTCGTCTGAACCCATAAGTAATGATCTAGCTCCACCTCCGATTCCATAGAGCTTGGAATGATAGAGCACCAAGTGCTATTTATCTTGCAAAAAAATTGAGCAAAAGGTATTTGGCAAAACATTGTAAAAACTGTAAATCACGAACTCTTCCCCACAAGCTAACAACATAACTGTATTTGTTCATTAGCTCACGCTCATGGGTTTTGAAGCGCTTAAAAGTCTGTTCTGCTTTCGAAGATTAAGTATCCATAAAGAGAAACTCTATTAAATGGGCAATTACGAAAAACAACTTATATGTAAAAACGTCATCAACTTTTTCTGACTGGTAAGAACATCAGCAACTTACTTAGGAAGAAAGCTTTTTAAAGCTAGTTGTCCGTTGTTCAAACCAACAAAAGATCACTCAATATTTTATGCACAATTGACTTGCAGAGAATATTGTATTATGCAGAAGAAGTGATAAAACCTATTAACACCAAAGGCCCTTATTCACTATTCAAATAGATAAAATATACTATCTTTTATGCACTCTGTTGAAGACAATTTGCAAAACCTTCTAGTGGAATATATCCAATAAAACCACTCACAAAAAATGACAAATTGTGCCATCAAAATAATCTTTTACTTGTACTCATCAAAATAGACCAATCATAAAGGATACACGTCTGCTCCATAACAAGGCAATGAACATCCGAATTGACCAATTGAATGGACTCTTCACAGAGAAGTCAATACATAGCTTCGAGCAACAGTGTCTGAATGGAATTTAGAGATATGCCAGCCTTGGGAAGTGATGGATAGAGGTTTGCATCCAACTGACCAAATCCAGTCCCGTTGAAAGTGTGGTGAGAAGAACAGAAGAAACTAGAACTCAAATTACCAGCTTTTGTCTCGACGTAAAATGTTAAACCCAACTCAAGTTACCACTTCTGGCTCAAGGTAAAACACTAGGTTAAAGAATAAATAACACATTATATATNGTTCAAGGATAAATCAAACACCGAATTCGAAGTCATACTTGAGCTCGGGTCCGAATCGAACTATGATGAGATGTTATGGAAACGAGCTTAAGGGGCAAAGACCAACCGACACTGAGCCCGAGTCATTACCAGACCCCGAGTTAGCATCGATCTCAAGTCCGCATCGAGATCTAAAAATAATACCGACCAGCACCGAGTCTGATCAAGCTCGAGCTCACAGACAAGAGTCGTTGCAACAGCACTAAGGGAGAGAATCTTAGTGGAAATTAGGAAAAAGTTGATTTATCATGGGTTCTCCACTATGTATTTTTAATTATATCTAAAGTAGGATCCTCCACTATAAAAAGGATGACTACATTTCTGCAAAGGCAGCTTTTTGTTCACATTGTAACAAGAATCCTATTTTCTCATATTGAAAGATTAACCTTTTGAGCTCCATTACTTCATCTTGTTTTGTTCATTCATTTTCCTCTTTTATATTGTGTTATCTTTTATCCTTTATAGTCAAGATTGGATATTTCTATTTCCCTCTAGCCATTTGTGTCAAAGTTATACCACATATCTTTAGAACTACGTATAAATTCAACTCTATCCGATTTTTTGGGTAAACAGTTTAGCGCCCACCGTGGGGCTAAGGATAATAGTGGTTATTTGATACGAATCTACAAAAACACGCTGTTTTGCGCTTGTGTCCGAAAGTGTCTTTGATTTCGGATTAGCAACGACTAAACTATCAATTAAATGGCCTTACCAATCGACAACGAAGCTGGTCTTCAAGATGAAAACAACAACTTGACACCAAGTACCGAAAGGCCGCTTGTCAATGCCATTGGAGCTCGAATCGAAGTGTCGATAGACATTAATTCGTATGTGGCCATTAAGACGAACCTACATTCTGAACCTAAAAATAGCATACATGGTGGCACTAGATCTGCAGCTCGAGATACCCATAACGTCGAGGAAAATGGCGCCAGCTTGCATATGATTTTCAAAATGTTGCAAGCTCAACAGGCAGCGATAGCTCAGTTGCAAATTCAAACCCAGATACAGAGCAGGCCGGAGCCCAGTCAACCCCGAGAAATCGCCCATACTACTGAACTAGCTGTAGTGAAATCAAATGAGCAGGAGTCGGGGACTAATCCCGAAATTGCTAGGACGTTCGAAGAACTGACCAAATGAATAGAATCGGGATAAAGGAGGATCGAAGAAAATGACAAAAAGGTGGAAACATACAACTCCAGGGTTGATCAGATCCCAGGGGCACCACCAATATTGAAGGGCTTAGACTCCAAAAAATTCATACAAAAGCCTTTCCCCCCAAGTGCGGCTCCTAAACTGATCCCAAAGAAGTTTCACGTGCCCGAGATTCCTAAATATAACGGAACTACCGACCCCAACGAACATGTCACCTCATACACATGTGCCATCAAAGGGAACGATCTAGAGGATGATGAGATCGAATCCGTATTATTGAAGAAATTCGGTGAAACCCTGTCAAAGGGAGCAATGATATGGTATCATAATTTGCCATCTAATTCTATTGATTTTTTTTGCTATGCTTATATATTCCTTCGTAAAAGCACATGCCGGGGCCATAAAAGTCGAGACCAGGAAGTCGGACCTATTCAAGGTTAAACAAAAGGATAACGAGATGCAAAGGGAGTTCGTATATCGTTTTCAAATAGAACGAATGGATCTGCCACCAGTCACAGACGATTGGGTTGTTCAGGCTTTCACTCAAGGTTCAACGAACAAAATTCGACGGCTTCACGATGGTTGAAGCATAACCTGATCGAGTACCCATCTATCACTTGGGCCGACGTGCATAATCGGTACCAATCAAAAATTAGAGTCGAAGATGATCAGCTGGGGTCTAAACCCGCTGCTCGAAGGGATATCAATCGAGAACAAGGTCCGATCAGGGACTGATACCGACCGTATAATGAAAACCACAGAATCAATTAATTGAGACTTAACCCCGAACAAAGCAACAAAAGAAGTGATCGAGGTCAAGGGTCTCAGGGGATGATGAACAAAAGTGGGTTCGATAGGCCTATTGGATCTAAGGAAGCATCACGGTTATCAGAATATAACTTCAGTATTGATGCATCTTCCATCGTGTCGGCTATCAAACGCATCAAAGATACTAAATGGCCTCGACCCATGCAGGTCGACCCTGCCCAGAGGAATCCCAATCAAATATGCGAATATCATGGCACCCATGGCCACAGAACGGAAGATTGCAGACAACTAAGAGAGGAGGTAGCCCGGTTATTCAATAAAGGGCACCTTCGAGAATTTTTAAATGAAAAGGCGAAGAACCATTTCACAAACAGGGATTTCGGCAAACAAAACGAACAAAATGTCAACCACATGATCATCGGCGACGTCGATACCCCTTAATGGTCGGTGCTTAAACGCACTAAGACATAGATTATGAGAGAAAAGTGACCTCGAACTCAGGATTACGCACCCATAGGAACTTTGTTCTTCAATGATGAAGATGCAGAAAGGGTCATAAAACCTCATAATGATGCACTGGTAATATCCGTACTTATGAATAAAACTAAAGTTAAGCGTGTGTTAATTGATCCAGGTAGCTCGGCCAACATCATTAGATCTAAGGTTGTAGAACAGCTCGGTCTACAGGACCAAGTCATACCCGCAACCCTGGTTCTAAACGGATTCAATATGGCATGTGAAACCACCAAAGGCAAGATAATTCTGCCGATAAACATGGACGGGACCATCCAAGAAATGAAGTTTCACATAATCAAAGGCGACATGAGGTACACGTCCTTTTTGGAAGGCCATGGATCCAGAACATGAGAGTTGTACCTTCAAACCTACACCAGGTTCTTAAATTCCCAACATCGGGGGGAGTCAAAATAGCGTACGGAGAACAACCGACCACAAGAGAAATGTTTGCCATCGAGGAAGCGAATCTGATATCCTCGTTGTTGCCAAAAGGGGAACGAGATGCCAAATAGCAATCACAGGCATTAACTTTAACCTAACCAGAAAATCAGAAGATCGATGAAGATAATGATCAAAGGATCCCTCGATCCCTCATGCTTCCCGATGATTACGACGCTACCCAATAAACTATTGAAGAGTTGGAGCAAGTCATACTGATCGAGCATTTGCCCGAATGAAAGGTATACCTGGGAACGGGATTAACCCCCGAACTCAGGAAAAGGCTTATTCAATTTCTTATCGATAACATAGATTATTTTGATTGGTCCCATTTAGATATAACAGGGATCCCATCGGATATAACGATGCATCGGCTAAGCCTGGACCCTAGGTTCAAAC